AAGTTGCATTAACATTAATATGTTGGGTGTACTGCAAATAAGTGGTGTAATGTACATGTAAATAGTTATGTAGATATCGGGTGTACTTAACATAAAATGTAAGTTGCAGTGTAAATGTAAATCCTAATACAGGTGTAATGTGATGAAAATGAAAGTTGCAATGTAAAGCGTAATGAAGTACCGTGTAAGTAATTTTGTAATATAAATGTAAGGTGTAATAGAGGTGTAATGTTAAGTAATGTAGATGTAAAGTGCAATGTAAATGTATGGCGTTATGAAAATATGTGTAAGTCGCAATGGGGGTGTATTGTAACGTAAATTTAAGGCGTAATGTGGGTGAAATGTAAAATAGTGTAAATGGTTTCAATATATTTATTTAAGCTTGACTGCGGAACAAGTTCTTACAACTTATATTAATCACTTTCGAGTCCGCTTCCTGGAACCAACCAGTACTGGTGTCATATGAATAAACATGGTCGTGACCCGAGCATGATCTCTTGGTTGAGAGGCAGACACCTTAACTACTAGGCCACCGTTCCCCTTAATGTAAATGTAAGCTGAAATGTAAATACGAAATTGATCTCGTATAATGCATAATATAAGTGTAATGTAAGTTGCAATGTAAATGTATGGCGTAATGAAAATATGTTTAAGTCACCACGAAGATGTGAGAGGTGTAAAATAAAGTAAATGTAAGGTGTAAGGTAAGTATAATGTGATGTAAATGTGAAATGTAATAAGATGTAAGGTGTAATTAATGTGCAAATGGTCATAATTAAGATTTGAGGGTTAATGCCAATGCGTGATGTAATGTACATATGAACATAATATGAACTTTTATATAAATGTAAAAATCAAATGTAATTTAGATGGAAAATAAAATGTAAATGTAAGGTATAATTCAGTTATACAGTTCAGTGCAGATGAAAGATATAATGTAGATTTTAGGTGGAACAAAAACATTCAGTGTAATGTAATGTACATTTTAAAAATAAGTTTAAATGCAGATGCAATATTGCTTGAAATTTCCAGTCTTTATGCACTTTCTACATGAATATAATTCAATTGATCATTTTGCTAATACCAAGAAAATCAAACTGATCATATTTTCTTTTCTTTTTGTTCTTCTTTTTTAGCTACTTGTGATCTACCTAATAATGTAGCAAGGCCTTATGGCCAAAATCAAAAGGTATATGTTGAAGGTGAGACGATAAGTAATTTCCACTGTGACGCTGGTTACAGGTTGTCATCTCATAAAAGCATGACGTGTCAGCCAGATGGAAGGTGGTCTACGGTCGTTGAATGCATTAAAAGTAAATATTTCTTATTTCAAACAATGTAAAATAGTTTATTTAAGAAGTCATATTTCAAATAAATAGACTCACTTTTATCCGTATGAGCTGGCACTAGGATTCTTGTTTACCTCCCCGTGGTTCGGCTCTATGACAATACCAGCTTTATACACCTTGTAAAGCCACGGTGAATATAGAAAATTACACTGTATATAGCGCCTGCCCCGGTGGAAATAGCTCTTTAACACTGTATATATACCCCTTGCAAATGTTTAACTGCTGGATAATAAAACTCTCTTACACCGTATGTATACAGCTCCCGGCGAATATATAGCTGATAGATCGTATATATCTTCCGCCGAATATACATCTGTTACACCGTATATATCTCTCGTCGAATACATATCTGTTACACCGAATATATCTCCCGGCAAATATCTATCTGTTACACCATATATATCTCCCGGCGAATACATATCTGTTACACCATATATATCTCCCGGCAAATATCTATCTGTTACACCGTATATATCTCCCGGCGAATACATATCTGTTACACCATATATATCTCCCGGCAAATATCTATCTGTTACACCATATATATCTCCCGGCGAATACATATCTGTTACACCATATATATCTCCCGGCAAATATCTATCTGTTACACCATATATATCTCCCGGCGAATACATATCTGTTACACCGTATATATCTCTCGTCGAATACATATCTATTACACCGAATATATCTCCCGGCAAATATCTATCTGTTACACCATATATATCTCCCGGCGAATACATATCTGTTACACCATATATATCTCCCGGCAAATATCTATCTGTTACACCGTATATATCTCCCGGCGAATACATATCTGTTACACCATATATATCTCCCGGCAAATATCTATCTGTTACACCATATATATCTCCCGGCGAATACATATCTGTTACACCATATATATCTCCCGGCAAATATCTATCTGTTACACCATATATATCTCCCGGCGAATACATATCTGTTACACCATATATATCTCCCGGCAAATATCTATCTGTTACACCGTATATATCTCCTGTCGAATATATATCTGTTGCGGAACAAGTTCTTGCAACTTATATAAATCACTTTCGAGTCCGCTTCCTGGAACCAACCAGTACTGGTGTCATATGAAGAAACATGGTCGTGACCCGAGTAAGGCTCGAACCAATGATCTCTGGGTTGAGAGGCAGACACCTTAACCAATAGGTCACCGCTCCCCTTAATATAAATGTAAGCTGAAATGTAAATATTTGGCGTAATAAAGGTGCAAGGTAAGTTGCAATGTAAATGTTTGGCGTAATGAAAATATGTGTAAGTCACCATGAAGAAGTGAGGTGTAAGGTAATTTAATGTAAGGTGTAAGGTAAGTATAATGTAAAATAATGTAAATGTAAGCTGCAATGTAAACGTAATGCGTAATATAGGTATAATGTAAAGTATTGTAAATGTAAGTTACAATGTAAGTGTATGGCGTAATGAAAATATGTGTAAGTCACAATGAAGATGTGAAAGGTGTAATATAAAGTAAATGTAAGGTTTAAGGTAAGTGCAATGTAATGTAAATGTAAAATGTAATAAAGATGTAAGGTGTAATAAATGTGTAAATTGTAATGAGTCATAATTTAGATGTAAAGGGTAATGTCAATGCGAAATGTAATGTACAAAAGTACATAATATGAAATTTTATATTGTAACGTGTCCGAGCTTCTTTCTGTCTTATAATTCGGGTAGCGTTTGAACTATGCAAAATAATAGCTTTGGCTATTATAAAATATGTAATTTTTCTCAGGCTACTTTGCCTTATGATTGGTAATAAATGATTCTCAAATGATTTAAATAAGAATAAAAATCAATGGGAATTAATAAAGATACGATGTTTTCAATAAAGTTCAAAGTTTCCTCAAACAGTTTACTTTATCAAGTCAACGTCTACTATTTAAAACACAACCAATGGGAAATACAATGTCACTCTTGTGGTTAGCTTTCTATAAATGTTTCTTAGTAATTTTACGCATCAACCTATAAGAACTACTTTACATTCTATATGTTCAGCCTTTCATTAATCTCACCAGCGACCCGTACAACCAAAATATAACTAAGATTAAACCCTGAACACAAAGCGCAATAATTTTAATGTTAAGATATCAGAACGCAATGCTCTTAATATCTGAGTCAATCTTATTATGTTGTATTTACGGCACAAAGTCCCCAGTATTATATTAATTAGCTGATAATTAATACTTATTTATTTCTCTGACCTTCCTAGACGACGTCTCAGCTGCAACTCCTCAAACCTGTCTGTGTGTCTGCTTTTATATTAATGCAAGAACCACGTGATCTCTGATGACCAATGAAAATTAATCTACATACCTTACTGTTATCTGATTGGCTGGCTAAGAACTATTCTTGTTCAAAGAACGTCTAAAAGTTTAATGATTAACTTGTTTGACAAGTGTCTAAAAATCTATTATTTATAAACAATAATCATATTTATATTAGCTTATTTAAATTAACTTATTCTAAAGTCTTCAAAAGATCTATAAACATAAACAAATCACAATATATCAAGCGAATACTATTTACCTACGTTGCATATACGTTTATTCTAAGCCATACAAATAGGGTTTCTAAAACAAAGGGAAATAACTCTGTTAATTAATATAGGTATCAGGCTACTTTTCGTCACATTACCCACGCCTCCGGGCTCATGCGTCCCGCATGATTTTCATATTTTTTTTTTAAACAAAAATAAAACGAAACCAACATTTCACTTTTATTTAAGACACACATTTACTTTTAGTAACTATAAATGTTTCATCTTTCACTGAACACATATTTCAGAATTAAAACTGTTACTGTTATAGAATAAGACTTCCTAACACAACCAGTTACCTACTGATATTTTAAAATAAAAAAATCAATATAAAGTAAACACAACATCGTTATTGTTTTACCACTCATTTCTTTGCCTCGTACTTCATCTGAAGGCTAAACTTGTCTCCATTTGGCAGAATCATTGTAAATTTCTTCCTTATTGGAAAACTACCTGCTCTCACAATAATTTCATCAACCTGACAATCACTATCTGAATTGTCTGAATCATATGACCTTTTGTCATTCATTTGTTCATCTGTCACTTTATTGTTAGAACTCTCCTCCCTACTCTGTTTTTCTATATCATTCTCCACATCTTCAGTTTCATTCTCATTTGACAAATTGCTATCAAACATAATATCCTCAGATCTTTCATTTTCATCATCTAACAATTTCTCTTCAATCTCCGTTATTTGCTGAATAGGAGATCTAGCTTTTGGAGTAATAAGAGCCCTTGGATTTGTTGGTTTTCTAATTGTTCGACCAAGCAAAGTTATATCATCTAAGACCCTTGTATCCTCAACTAATTCTATATCTGGATCTTTGTCCCAATCAGAGATATCACTGTTATCAGAAAAATCTTTTTCTGAACTTTCAACATTTTCTGTTGTACTAACTTTTGTCACTTCCGGTGGCTTCTCTGTATGAAATTTCCGCTTATGTACTTGCAAATAAACTTTCTTCTTGAAGGTTTTATTACAGTCCTCACACTTAATCACAACTCCCTTACAATGCATAACATGTTGTCGGAAGTCTTCTGTTGCTTTAATGGTAATCTCACATAAAGGACACAAAATAGGTTTTCTAGGTGTGCTCTTAACTTTAGGCATCTTTGATCTGAAAATAGACATAACATAATCTTTCATCCATATGGGTTTTCGAATGGTTCGTTTTCCAGTATCAAAACATACCTCATTAGAAGTACTAGAGCATTCATCTATCTCTTCTTCACCATACATGTCATCAACATTTTGGATATTTTGATTTTGTTCTATTTCTTGCTCACCTGTCAAAACTTGTTCCTTAGCTTTCTTGATTCTATCTATATGTATTATCTGTATGGATCCTCCATAACCACAATCTACCTTATACAATAAATCTGATATTTTCTCTGTTATTCTAAATGGCCCTTTCCAAAAAGATGTAAGTTTACTAGAAAGACCTACCTTTTTAACTGGAAAATAAATGTACACTTTATCACCTTGATTTAGTTTTTCATAATAAAGTTTAGAATCATGCAGTTTCTTTTGCTTACATATCGCTTGACCTGTATGTTGCCTAATAAAAGTATGCACAGATTCTAATTTCTCCCGCAATTCCCAAACCCATTGACTTATTGGAATTGGCTTAATTGAAGATGGCATTTCATATGAAATATCTAAAGGAGTTGTTACTTCTCTACCTAGCATGGCAATATTTGGAGACATACCCGTTGTCTCATGTTGAGTTGCTCTATACGCCATCATACAATAAGGAAGCATTTCATCCCAATTACTCTGGTTTTCATCTACAAACATGCTAAGCATGGCTACAAGCGTTCTATTAAATCGCTCGACCATTCCGTCAGATTTTGGGTGATAAGCTGTAGTTCTTGTTTTGTTTATTTCTAACATACAACACATTTCTTGAAACAAGTTACTCTCAAACTGTTTACCTTGGTCAGAGTGAATTGAATCAGGTATTCCAAATCTAGCTATAACTTCTTCGACCAACACTTTAGCCACATTTCTTGCTTCCATATTTACTAATGGAAAGCATTCGGTCCATTTAGTAAAATAATCCCCAATTACTAAAATATACCTATTATCTCTATCTGTTTTACAAAGAGGACCTAAAATATCTATTGCTATTCTTTCCATAGGATAACCACTTTGTTCTGTTTTCATTGGTGCCTTCTTTGTTTTTAAGGGACCTTTACGTTTTGAACATAATTCACACCCTGAAATGTACAGTTTTACATCGTTTTGATAACCTGGCCAATAAAAACGCTGTTTAATTTTACTTAATGTTTTTGTAACTCCAAGATGTCCAGAAGCTTTAATGTCATGAGACAATTGTAAAACCATTCTTCTTTGTTTTAATGGAACTATAGCTTGCCAGTATGAAACCTCACTATTTTCAACATCCCAACGTCGAACGACAATATCATCTTTGAGTTCTAGTCTCTGCCATTGACTCCAAAGTGATTTAAGAAAATAACCTCTGTGTGATATGTCTTTCCATTCTGGCCGTTTTCCATTTTTCAACCAAGTTTTAACCTCTGATATATCTGTATCTTGTTCTTGATCAGTTTTTATATTAATTTGTTTATCATGATCATTTTGAAATAATGCCAAACATGTATTTTCTTCAGATTTTGCCTTTTTATTTGGCATATTTGTTCGACCACATTGCTTACAAGGTATACGGCTTAAAGCATCTGCATTAGTATGTTGTTTACCTGGCCTATGTTCTATTTTCATTGAATAGGAAGATAATATTTCTATCCAACGGGCAACTTGCCCTTCTGGGTTTTTAAAATTTGTCAACCACCTAAGGGAAGCATGATCTGTCCGAACAACAAATTCTCTACCGTATAAATAATGTTTGTAATATTTTACAAAATTAACCACAGCTAAAAGCTCTTTTCTAGTCACACAATATCTTCTTTCAGCTTTAGTCAAAGTCCTGCTAGCAAAAGCAATGACTCGCTCTTTGCCATCAATAACCTGTGATAAAATTCCAGATATAGCAACATTACTAGCATCTGTGTCAAGTATAAATGTTTTACTAAAATCAGGATGAGCTAATACTGTATCATTGGTTAATGCACGTTTTAACTCATTGAACGTATCATTACATTCTTTTGACCAAACAAAATTTTGACCTTTCTCAGTAAGCTTGTATAAAGGTTTGGCAATATGCGAAAATTTATTTATGAATTTTCTATAATAGCTACATAAACCAAGAAATGACCTTAATTCGTGAACATTTGAAGGAACTGGCCAATCAACAATAATTTTTACTTTTTCTGGATCGGACTTTATACCATGTTCCGAAACGACATGACCCAAAAATTTTACTTCTTTTGAAAATAATTGACACTTTCTAGGTTTGAGCTTTAATCCAGCATTTTTAATTTTCGAAAGTACCTTATCCAAATTGTCAATCATTTCTGAGAATGTTTTCCCAGTAACAATTATATCGTCCAAATAAATAAGACATATATTCCAATTCAGTCCTGCTAAAACAGTTTCCATTAACCTTTCAAACGTTGCAGGAGCATTACATAATCCGAAAGGCATAACTCGGAACTCAAATAAACCGTTTCTTGTTGTAAATGCTGTCTTTTGCCTATCTTCTTTCTCTACTTCAATCTGCCAATAACCAGAATTTAAATCTAGGCAAGAAAACCACTTTGCTCCTGATAGTTGACCTAAACAATCGTCAATTCTGGGCAAAGGATAAGCATCTTTTATAGTCAAATCATTAAGTTTTCGGTAATCGACACAAAAACGTTTGGTGCCATCCTTCTTCTGGACCATAACTATACCACTAGCCCACGGAGAAGAAGATGGTTGAATTACATTTTTCTTTAGCATATCATTAATATGTTGGTCAATTTCAGAATTCATATGTACTGGTGTTCTTCGCAACGGTTGCTTAATAGGTTTTGCATCTCCAGTATGTATTCTATGTCTTATGATACCAGTTTTCCCAAGATCCTCATCATTTTCTGAAAAAGTAGCTGAATGTTTTATAAGCAACTTTGCTATTTGCTGCTTTTGGGATATAGACATGCCTTCGACAGCACGTTCATATAATTCTTCTAAATGTTTAGGAACATGAGTTACATTTCTATAATTTGAAGTATTAGAACCATTGTCACATATTTTAGAAACTATGCTCAAATCAGCAATATGAGAACCTGGATATATAACTTGTTTTTCATTATTTAAATTCATAATGCGCAAAGGAACTTCCGAGTTTGCATAAACCAAAGTTTTGGCCACAAGCCCTTTATCACACGAAAATGATTTTTCAGTTGGTTCAATAATAGACATTTGATTTAACTTTAATGGCGGAATATCAACTTTTCCTAATGTAATCATTTCAGACATGGGTGGAAGTTCAACTTTCTCTGAAAGTGTAACGCGATAACAACCTACTTTACCAGCAGTTTCCAATGCAAAACTATGATCTTTTATCTTTAACGAACATTTTGAAAGATCAAGTACACATTTGTTGTTTAACAGAAAATCTAAACCTAAGATTGCTTCGACGTCAATATCAGCAACAACAACTTTACACAAACAATGTATACCCTTTAAATTTATAGAAACTATCGTTTTCCCTTTTATGTTAACAGGTTCTCCAGATGCTGTTAATATTTGAGATGGGAATGGTTCGAGAGTATTTGTACTAGAGTTTTGAACAAGATCCCAAACTTTTGTAGATATAATCGATAAAGTCGCTCCAGTATCAACTAAACTATCCGTTTCAACATCATTTATCTTACAGTTTATATATAAACCAGACCCTGTACTAGCAACGTATCTTGTTCCATAGTCTGATTTGTTTTTAGGACATAATCTCTGAAAATGATCTTCCGAACCACACGTAAAGCATGTACGCTTAATTCTTTCTCTATTCCGTTCAGTTTTATCTTGATATCTCCTATTTGAATATATTTGATTTTTGAACGAATTTGGTCGAGAACTTTCTTTATTATAACTTGTGTTATTCCTTGCGTTTATAGTCTTTGACATGTTATCAATACTTTTCTGAAGAGACTCAAGTTTACTATCATATGTATTACTAGTATTTCTTTCAGAACTTGACCTTAAATAACCTTGATTATTTAAATATTTGCGTTCGGCCTTATGATAAGCTTCAAGCTCTACTGCATGTCTTACAGCATCATTTAAGTCAACTGGTCTAGCCTGTTTTATGCGTAAACGCATGTCGGAATTTATCAATGAATCTAAAAACTGTTCTTTTGCCAATGTTTCTTTAACCTCTTTTGGGGCTGAAGGATAAGCTAAATTTATAAGCCTTCTAATATCTTGACCTAGTTCTGACAATGTTTCTGAAGCTTTTTGTTTTCTTTCTTTTAGTTGAGCACGATATAGCTCTGTTTGATTAGAAGGAGAAAATCTTTCTTCTAATGCTAACACTAGTTCTTCATATGTTGGCGATTTTGTCGTTAAGTTACCAAATACCCCTTGAGCAGACCCCCTTAAAGATACTGAAAGATATAGACCCTTTTCTTTTGTTGACCATTTATTTAACTCTGAACAAGCTTCAAAATGTGCTTTATAATCTAACCATGAATGTGAACCATCAAAAGTTGCAGGTTTAATAAAAACTGAACGCTTCTCTGAATTGTTTTTATCCCTATCAGATATATTTTGGCATGACTTTTCTTCTAAGTAACCTGTCTGATTATTAATGATTTCAGCATTTTTGTCTTTAGTCAAGCTTAGGTTTTCAGTTTGATTGCAATTATCTTTCGTTCTATGTGTTTCAAACATTTGTCTTTTATTGTCATGAAATTTGGTCTGAAAAGTATCTACCTCAGTTTGGCATGCACTATCTTTCGTAGCATTTAGGGAAATATCTATTTTTGGCGGTTGTTGGGTGTTTTTACGTCTATACGTAACAAATCTGTCTACAGGTGGAGAAAAATCATTATGCGATATGTTATCTTTTATTTCTGAAAAATTGCTTTCACGAAAATAGTCTGGTGTTGGTGGAAGTCTTCTCCGCCTTCGTGTATCTAATGGTGTAGCTAGTTTATGTTTTATCGTAGTTGGTGTCGAGGTTGGAATTTTATAACCTATAGTTTCATTTTTATTCTGGTCCAACGATAATTGTATGTTATTAATTTCTTGTTCTAAAACAGAAATTTCGAACTTCAACTTTAAAGCTTCGTTTTCTCTTTTCACCTCTAACAATTGTTCCTGTAACAGACTCAAACTATTCTCAGGATCAAGTAATGCCATATTCTCGGCCATAGTTCTATACACTTTTGGAAATATTTTGTTTATAATATAGTCTCTATACGTAGGTAAGTGACAGTGTTATTCTGTCAATATGACAATATCCCACCGCTGCCACCAAATTCTGTAACGTGTCCGAGCTTCTGTCTTATAATTTAGGTAGCGTTTGAACTATGCAAAATTATAGCTTTGGCTATTATAATATATATAATTTTTCTCAGGCTACTTTGCCTTATGATTGGTAATAAATGATTCTCAAATAATTTAAATAACAGTAAAATCAATGGGAATTAATAAAGATACGATGTTTTCAATATAGTTCAAAGTTTCCTCAAACAGTTTACTTTATCAAGTCAACGTCTACTATTTAAAACACAATCAATGGGAAATACAATGTCACTCTTGTGGTTAGCTTTCTATAAATGTTTCATAGTAATTTTACGCATCAACCTATAAGAACTACTTTACATTCTATATGTTCAGCCTTTCATTAATCTCACCAGCGACCCGTACAACCAAAATATAACTAAGATTAAACCCTGAACACAAAGCGCAATGCTTTAATGTTAAGATATCAGAACGCAATGCTCTTAATATCTGAGTCAATCTTATTATGTTGTATTTACGGCACAAAGTCCCCAGTATTATATTAATTAGCTGATAATTAATACTTATTTATTTGTCTGACCTTCCTAGACGACGTCTCAGCTGCAACTCCTCAAATCTGTCTGTGTGTCTGCTTTTATATTAATGCAAGAACCACGTGATCTCTGATGACCAATGAAAATTAATCTACATACCTTACTGTTATCTGATTGGCTGGCTAAGAACTATTCTTGTTCAAAGAGCGTCTAAAAGTTTAATGATTAACTTGTTTGACAAGTGTCTAAAAATCTATTATTTATAAACAATAATCATATTTATATTAGCTTCTTTAAATTAACTTATTCTAAAGTCTTCAAAAGATCTATACAAATAAACAAATCACAATATATCAAGCGAATACTATTTACCTACGTTGCATATACGTTTATTCTAAGCCATACAAATAGGGTTTCTAAAACAAAGGGAAATAACTCTGTTAATTAATATAGGTATTAGGCTACTTTTCGTCACAATATAAATGTAAAAATCAAATGTTAATTAGATGAAAAATGATAATTATGTAAATGTTAGGGTATAATTCAGTTATTCGTACAGTTCAGAGCAAATGAAAAATGTAATGTAGATTTTAGGTTGAACGTATATTATTATGTGTAATGTAATGTACATATAAAATCTAGAAAGAAGTTTTAATTCCCGAGGCAATCTTGTTTTAAATTTCTTTATGTCTTTATGTACTTTCTACATGAATATAATTCAATTGATCATTTTGCTAATACCAAGAAAATCTAACTGATATTTTCTTTTTTGTTCTTCTTTTTTAGCTACTTGTGATCTACCTAATCATGTAGCAAAGCTTAATGACCCAAAACGAAAGGTATATAGTGAAGGTGAGACGATAAGTAATTTCCACTGTGACGCTGGTTACAGGTTGTCATCAAATGAAAGCATGGCGTGCCAGCCAAATGGAATGTGGTCTGCGGTCGTAAAATGCATTAAAGGTAAATATTTCTTGTTTCAAATAATGTAAAATAGTTTATTTAAGATGTCATATTTCAAATAAATAGAATCACATTTATCCGTATGAGCTGGCACTAGGATTCTTGTTTACTTCCCAGGGGTCAGCTTTACGACAATATTTGTAAAGCCCACGGTGAAAAATAGACAATTACACAGTAACTCCTTGCGAATGTTTAACTGCTGGAGAATAAAGATCAATTATACCATATATATCTCCCGGCAAATATAAATCTGATACACCGTATATATCTCAAGGTGAATATATAGCTGATATACCGTATATATCTCCCGGCGGATATATATCTGTAACACCATATATATCTCCCGGCGAATATATAGCTGATGAATCGTATATATATCTCTCGTCCAATATATATCTGTTACACCGTATATATATCTCTCGTTGAATATACATCTAATACACCGTATATATCTGCCGGCTAAAATATATCTGATACATCGTATATATCTGCCGGCGGATATATATCTGATACACCGTATATATCTGCCGGCGATAGATATCTGATACACCGTATATATCTGCCGGTTTATATTTATCTAATACACCGTATATATCTGCCGGTTTATATATATCTGATACACCGTATATATCTGCCGGCTAATATATGTCTGATACACTGTATATATCTGCCAGTGAATATATATCTGATACACTGTATATATCTGCCAGGGAATATATATCTGATACACCGTATATATCTGCCGGCTATTATATATCTGATACACAATATATATCTGCTGGCTAATATATATCTGATTAACCGTGTATATCTGCTGGCTAATATATATCTGATACACTGTATATATCTGCCAGCGAATATATATCTGATACACTGTATATATCTGCCAGCGAATATATATCTGATACACCGTATATATCTGCCAGCTAATATAATATCTGATACAGCATATATATCTGCTGGCTAATATATATCTGATACACCGTATATATCTGCCGGCTAATATATATCTGATACACTGTGTATATCTGCTGGCTAATATATATCTGATACACTGTATATATCTGCCGGCTAATATATATCTGATACACTGTATATATCTGCCGGCTAATATATATCTGATACACATATATATCTGCCGGCTAATATATATCTGATACACACATATATATCTGCCGGCTAATATATATCTGATACACTGTATATATCTGCCAGCGAATATATATCTGATACACCGTTTATATCTGCCGGCTAATATATATCTGATACACATATATATCTGCCGGCAAATATATATCTGATACACCGTATATATCTGCCGGCGAATATATATCTGATACACCGTATATATCTTCCAGCGAATATATATCTGATACACCGTATATATCTGCCGGCTGATATATATCTGATACACTGTATATATCTGCCGGCGAATATATATCTGATACACTGTATAATATCTGCCGGCTAATATATATCTAATACACTGTATATATCTGCCGGCTAATATATATTTGATACACCGTATATATCTGCCGGCTAATATATATCTGATACACCGTGTATATCTGCCGGCTAATATATATCTGATACACCGTATATATCTGCTGGCGAATATATATCTGATACACCGTATATATCTGCCGGCGAATATATATCTGATACACTGTATATATCTGCTGGCTAATATATATCTGATACACTGTATATATTTGCCGGCTAATATATATCTGATACACTGTATATATCTGCCGGCGAATATATATCTGATACACTGTATACATCTGCCGGCTAATATATATCTGATACACACATATATATCTGCCGGCTAATATATATCTGATACACCGTATATATCTGCCGGCGAATATATATATCTGATACACCGTATATATCTTCCAGCGAATATATATCTGATACACCGTATATATCTGCCGGCTAATATATATCTGATACACTGTATATATCTGCCGGTGAATATATATCTGATACACTGTATATATCTGCCAGCGAATATATATCTGATACACCGTATATATCTTCCAGCGAATATATATCTGATACACCGTATATATATGCTGGCTAATATATATCTGATACACTGTATATATCTGCCGGCGAATATATATCTGATACACTGTATATATCTGCCGGCGAATATATATCTGATACACTGTATATATTTGCCGGCTAATATATATCTGATACACTGTATATATCTGCCGGCTAATATATATCTGATACACTGTATATATCTGCCAGCGAATATATATCTGATACACCGTATATATCTGCCAGCTAATATATATATGATACACCGTATATATTTGCCGGCTAATATATATCTGATACACCGTGTATATCTGCCGGCTAATATATATCTGATACACTGTATATATTTGCCGACTAATATATATCTGTTACACTGTATATATCTGCCGGAGAATATATATCTGATACACCGTATATATTTGCCGGCTAATATATATCTGATACACCGTGTATATCTGCCGGCTAATATATATCTGATACACTGTATATATTTGCCGGCTAATATATATCTGTTACACCGTATATATTTGCCGTCTAATGTATATCTGTTACACCGTATATATTTGCCGGCTAATATATATATGTTACACTGTATATATTTGCCGGCTAATATATATCTGTTACACCGTATATATTTGCCGTCTAATGTATATCTGTTACACCGTATATATTTGCCGGCTAATATATATATGTTACACTGTATATATTTGCCGGCTAATATATATCTGATACACTGTATATATTTGCCGGCTAATATATATCTGATACACTGTATATATTTGCCGGCTAATATATATCTGTTACACCGTATATATTTGCCGGCTAATATATATCTGATACACCGTGTATATCTGCCGGCTAATATATATCTGATACACTGTTTATATCTTCCGGCTAATATATATCTGATACACCGTGTATATCTGCCGGCTAATATATATCTGATACACTGTATATATTTGCCGGCTAATATATATCTGATACACTGTATATATCTTCCGGCTAATATATATCTGATACACCGTATATATCTGCCGGCGAATATATATCTGATACACCGTATATATCTGCCGGCGAATATATATCTGATACACCGTATATATCTGCCGGCTAATATATATCTGATACACTGTATATATCTTCCGACTAATATATATCTGATACACACATATATATCTGCCGGCTAATATATATCTGATACACCGTATATATCTGCCGGCGAATATATATCTGATACACTGTATATATCTGCCGGCTAATATATATCTGATACACTGTATATAACTGCCGGCGAATATATATCTGATACACTGAATATATCTGCCAGCGAATATATATCTGATACACCGTATATATCTGCCGGTGAATATATATCTGATACACCGTATATATCTGCAGGTGAAATTATATCACATACACAGTATATTTCTTCTGGCGAATATATATCTGATACACTGTATATATCTGCCGGCGAATATATATCTGATACACTGTATATATCTGCGGCTAATATATATCTGATACACTGTATATATTTGCCGGCTGATATATATCTGATACATTGTATATATCTTCCGGCTAATATATATCTGATTCACCGTATATATCTGCCGGCGAATATATATCTGATACACCGTATATATCTGCCGGCTAATATATATTTGATACACCGTATATATCTGCCGGCTAATATATATCTGATACACTGTATATATTTGCCGGCTAATATATATCTGATACACTGTATATATCTGCCGGCGAATATATATCTGATACACCATATATATCTGCCGGCGAATATTTATCTGATACACCGTATATATCTGCCGGCGAATATATATCTGATACACTGAATATATCTGCCAGCGAATATATATCTGATACACTGTATATATCTGCCGGCGAATATATAGCTGATATACCGTATATATCTCCCGGCGAATATATATCTGTTACACCGTATATATCTGCAGGTGAATATATATCACATACACAGTATATTTATTCCGGCGAATAGAGTTTGTTACACCGTATTTATCTTTCGGTGGATATATATCTGTTACACCGTATGCTTAAGCTACCTCATTACTAATGGTTTGAAGTATATATCATTGGCATTCGTACAACCTTCTGGTGACACTTAACTAAAGCAACCTAAAAACTGTTCATTTTAAACCCGTTCTCCGTTTCGTGTCAGTATAAAGTGATTTAGTTTTACCTTCCCGGTTCCGTATGTCCCTATCAAATCCATTTTTCGTTTCAAAATAGCTTATGTTTAACCCACAGTCTGGGAGCATTCAGCATCTACTTGTAAAAAGTTTTGATAATCCAAAATTCGAAAATCCAAGCTGTTTCCCCTTGGGTCGGGCCATGGTTGCAATTGACTGGCCCATATTGCAGTTAATACATTATTTCTTACACTCCATTTAACTCTTTGATT